TCATCATCATCATCATCATCATCATCATCATCATCATCATCATCATCATCATCATCATCATCATCATCATCATCAGCAGAAGCCTGCTTAGCTGGACATCCTTCAGCTCCTTCTCCTCAACGGACTGTCGAACTCCTCGCCCCACTTGGCCCGTGCATCAATGCGCTATGCGGGGGTCCTAAGGAGGGGAACCATCCTCTGCCTCTCCCTGGGATCCGCGCTGGCCCTCTGGCGCACATCGCCAGAGTGCGCTTCCAATCGCTGGGGAAGTCGGGCGTCTGGGGACGTATTTGGAGGGTTCCCGGGCATTTTCTGGTGGTTCTGGGGGGCCTCTTGGAGCTGTGCTGGGACACTCTCGGGCCGATTTGCGGCCATCCGAAGACATTTAAAGCTGATAAGTCTAAAGCACACAAAGAGTTGAACACCAACATGCTTTTCAACACAAAGAGTTGAACACCAAACTTGCGGGATGGCGTCTCGGAGTGTTATGGTGTGTGTGTTGTTCGCTTTGCTTTATAAAGAAACAGCTTACGATGTCCAAGTGATGTGGTCAGTTCTTGCCATGATTCCAGCACTGGGCTGGCCGAGCCCAACATCTATAATCAATGATTGTAAGATCTACCGTGTCTACCAGCGTCCACGAACCCGAGAAAAAGAGAGAGAGAGAGAGAGAGACTGCCTGGTAGGGCTTCTCCAATATTGCAGGGCGAGCGCCCAAGAACCCCCAAAAAGGCCCTCTAAGGCTTCCAAAGGGCTAGGAAAACGCCCCCCAAAGCGCCAAATGCCTCTTCTGGGGGTCAGCGAAATTGCGTGAGCCTCTTGGATTTTGTAAGCCCCCCTCTTCTACGGGCTCAGTGATCATGTGGGGGCTGCTCGCGCTTGGCCTGCGTACCAAACCTCCTGGGCCGCCTCGGGTCCTTCATGGGGTCATTTTTCGCTCATTGGAAGGCCCCCATGGGCCGCGCCAAGAAATCTAAAGCTGTCTGGGTATTGTTTTCCGTCATCTTCGACACACCTGGCGAGAACTGGACATGGCGGGCGGTGAACGCGAAGCGTCTTGAATAGAGACCCCCCCGCCTTCGTGACACGGACTGCCGTGCGCATTGCCCCCCCCGCCCCTCTCCCCCCTGAGGCCACGATCCGCAATCAAAGAAACGTTTGGCCCGCTCTTTCCGAGCCGCCTGCCCCTGCAACTCTCCCGGCCCCCTCTCCAAAGACCAGCTCGCGGCCCCGAGCGATGTCCGAGGGCACCAACGTCCAGAAGCGGCTCCCCGAGGCCGGAAATATCTCCGCGGCGAGCCGGGGGGGAAGTCAGAAGGGGCGGGCCTTCTCGGAAGGCTCGGAAAGCCTCCGGCCCTCTGAGACGTTCTTCGAAGCCTTCGCCGAAGACAGAGTTCTCAGAGGACCCGGAGGGCTCCCGAGAAGCCCCGCCGCCTTCTGAAGAGGCTTGTCCCCTGTCACTTCCCCCTGCGGCCTCGCCGCCGAACATCACAAAGACCTCGGGCCAGACCTCCTCGAGCCGCTGGGGATTGTGGGTCGTTAAAGGGGCCCTGGGACACACAAACACATGGACACAATTAACAGGATTCCTATATTTTTCGGATTCTCGTCTTCCCCCCCATCTCCAACATTTTCCCGCATTTTCCTGGGAATCGACGATGCAGTGTGTCTGTGTATTTTTTCCCCTCTTGAGCCATGTGCAGCGGCGGGTGCGGCGGCGTCGGAAGGGGCCGCCGTGGGCTGCCCATGGGCGGACGAGGGCCGCCGAGGGCCTCCGATGGCCTGCCCACTGGCCGCCGTGGGCCGCCGAGGTCTGCCGAGGGCCACCTCGGGGAAGAGGCTCCAAGGAAGAGGCCAGAAGACGCTAGACGATGATTCGGCGTTTCCGCCGGAGGCGCCGTGGCGCCCTGCCCAAACCCGCCGCCCCCTGAGGCGAAGATAGGTGTTGCCAGCCATCCGCGGCGTACTCTCGCAAGGGCCACCTCGTCGTTGTACAGCCACCCCTACCCCTTTAAGTGCGCCGCACTCTCCCACGTGAGTCTGGGGGTACTGGTATCTTTTGCAAGCAACGCGCGCCCCCGGCTGCGACCGCTTGGATTGCCACCGCTTGTCGCGTGCAATTTTCCCGCTTCCTCCTCCTAACTCCTCATCCGCTGCCTCTTCTTCCTCCTCCTCCTCCTCCTCGCCTCTCTCGCTTCTCTTCCTGCCCCTCGCGCTTTTCTTCCTCGTCCTCGTGGCTCTCACACTCGCCTCGCGACGACTCCGACCACACGGCCAACGACCGGGCTAAATCTGAGCTAGAAGTGGGCTAAAAGTGGGCTGAAAGTGGACTCAAGTGGGCTAGAAGTGGGCTAAAAGTGGGCTAGAATGCTCCGGCGAATCTCCGCGCATCCTCGCCCTGCGAATCCATCAGCCCGGTCGACGCTTTCCTATGCCCGGTCGCCCGAGTTTCTAATGCTTTCTATTGGCTGTGTAATCTCGCCACCACGGCTGTATTCCCGTTCGTCGTTTTCGTATTCCCGGCTGGCCTCCGGGGCCCGCAACTGAAAGCCAGACACGCGTTGGCTGAAAGCAGACTACGAGTGGGCTACAGGTGGGCTACAAGCGGACTGAAAGTGGGCCGAACAAGTGGGCCAGAAGTGGGCTAGAAGTTAGCTAACAGTGGGCTGAACCATTTGCTAGAAGTGGGCTACCGGTGGGCTACAACTAAGCTTAACGTGGGATGCAGTTCAGCAGTAGGAGACGCAGCGAAATAATCAGGCAGGCAAGACAGGACGAAGGAGGGCAAGGAGGAGGTAGAGGGAATGATTGGCCAATACCCGCTGTCAGTTTCGGTCCAGGGACCGTCAACGAACGACTCGGGATGAAAAGCTGATCACCAGGCAGGGATCCCGACCTCCAGGGAGCCGCTTTGTGATCAAATCACAACGTCGGATGTCTGAAAGGCGCAGAGGGCCCCATGGAGCTTCAGAATGGAGCGAAAAGCTGAGGGCATCTTGGGCCTGGGCCAGGGACGCCGTCAGCGACCCCCGATGCTGGGGCCCTTCGCGGAAATCCGCGGGAGCTTAAAATATTTCCTGGCGTTCAGTTCAGTCAGCTTACCTCGCGAGAAACAAATTCGGGCTACGCCCGAAATCAGGACTCTCGGGCCCCCTAGGCCCCCCCGCCCCTTTTGTGTGAATGTATATATATATATATATATATGTATGTGGAGATATGCTTATGAGTGTGTGAACATATATATATATATATACAGATATAGATAGATCGATAGATATATAGATAGATATATATATATATAGATAGATATATAGATAGATAGATAGATAGATAGATAGATAGATAGATAGATAGAGATACCGTTATGCACAGAAATCTGGAGAGAGATGCTTACATATGCCTCTCATCCCGACAACTCCCCTTGGCATCCTGCCTGGATGGGCTTGTGATCCTCAGTAACCCTATGGATTCAAAGGAACAGAAACAAGTGAAGCTCCAAGGATTCATCTGAACCCTGCGGATTCCCTGAGTAATCCTGCTAATTCCCTTCAGAGTCCTGCGAACATCATGCGGAATCCGATCGGAACCTCGGAACTCAGAAGAAGTCAGAAGGCGTCCTGAAGATTCCCGACGGGCTCCCGAGAGATTCTAGAAGCACCTTGAGGATTCCGCGTACGTCGCAGCGTGTTCTGCCCTCGCCAGTGCCTCTAACCCCACCTATCCCTGAGCGGGGCCCCCGCCGATACGACGCAGCAGCCCCCCACGAGATTCCCGTCCGTGCGCGCGCGCGCCCAAAGTCGCGCAGCGACGCGCCCGATGCGACGCAGCTGCGTCACCCCCGCGCGAGGCCCCCGCCCGAACGCGCAGTGCCCAGTCGCGCAGCAGGGCGCCACCCCCGTCGTGGGGCGAGACCCCTCGCCGACCAGTCACGAAGCGAGACTCCCGCGGATGCGATGCATGACTGAGGGGCCCGTTTTCCACCACCACCACCATAAGTTGGAGGGGAGGGGGTCGTCCTCCTCCTTCTCCTCCTCCTCCTCCACCGCCTCCTCCTCCTGCTCCACCGCCTCATCCTCCACCTCCTCCTCCTCCTCCTCCTCCTCCTCCTCCTCCTCCTCCTCCTCCTCCTCCTCCTCCTCCTCCTCTCCGTCCTCCTCCTCCTCCTCGTCCTCCTCCTCCTCCTTCCCCCTCCAACTTCTGGTGGTGGTGGTGGAAAACAGGCCCATCATGCGATGCATGACGTCTCACCCATTGAAAGGGGCCGCGCAAGACCCGTCAGCATCGAATCGGTAAACTGGATCGGACCGTCACGAGCATCGAGGTGGCCGCATCGGCACGGAATCGAGATCGGATCGGAACGGCTGCGCCCGGATAGACAACTACGCCGTGCAAGCATCGTGCCACATCTGATTGCCGGGAACTCGGAACCGAGTCGGATCGGGACAGCCAGAATCGATACCAAACTGGATCCGCCAGATCGAAATGGACCCTGCCGCGTGGAGACAGTGGCGAGGAAGGATGCTCCCCCTCGGGCGCATGTTAACCAGCCGCTGGGAGGGCCGAGGGCTGGGCAGCACGAGCGCGCGTCTGAGCACCCGAACCCTCGCAGTCCTGACGAGGGGGGCGGGAAGCGTGCACGCGTTCTCTTGTGAATTCTGCTCCTCCTCCTCCTCCTCCTCCTCCTCCTCCTCCTCCCATTTTCCTCCTCCTCCTCGTCCTCCTCCTCCCCTCCCCCTCCTCCTCCTCCCCTCCTCCTCTCGGGCTCACGCACACATGAATGACGGATCTGTGGACCTGGCGCGTGGGCGCCATATCCACGGATCGGGCAAAGTGTCTCCCGAAACGTGGCGCCAGCTCCGCCCGATCTGGCGACGGAGCGCCTCGATTCCGCATGGAAGCGGCGGGACCCGTCGCTAATCCTCGCGCCGCGTCCATGGCTGCGGTTCCTCGGCCCGCCTCCGACTCCTCCCCGCCCTCCTCCCCACGAAAAGGGGGGGAGCCTGAAGCTCGCGTCCAGGCTCCGCAGCTCGGCTTGGCGGCGGAGCGCCTCGCCCAGCGTCCCGAGGTCGTGCACCTGGCCGCCGCCGCTGCCATGGCCGCCGGAGCAGCCGCCGCCGATGGAGGAGAAGCTGACTTGATCTCGAACCTCGACCCTCGACCCTCGACCCTCGAATCTCGAGCCTCGACCCTCGAGCCTCGAGCCTCGAGCCTCGACTCTCGAAGAGAATTGATCTCGAACCTCGACCCTCGAATCTCGAACCTACAGGGCGCCGTGCCGTGACCCCCTCCACCGCCGCTGGAAGACCAAAGCCCCACGATATCGACAAACGAAGCCAAGCACTCACGGGGCAGCCCGCAGCTTGGGCCCGCCGCCAGCCCAGACGGCGAGCATAAATCGGACGCAGCCCCGCACGCACTCGAGTGCACACACGTCGCCCTCGCACTACTCGTATTCCTTTCCGTCCTCCTCCCCATCATGATCGTCGTCGTCGTCCTCCTCCTCGCCCTCCCCTCCTCATCCTCCTCGTTTTCCTCGTCTTCCTCCAGCTCCAGCTCGGTTTCCAATCGGTTGCGCCATAAATTGCGCACTCGGCGGCTGGGAATAAAGCCGTCTCCCATCAGTTGCGCCATAGGTTGCACCCTCGGCGACCGAGAATAAAGCCGTCTCTCCTATCGGTTGCGCCATAGGTTGCGCCCTCGGCGGCCGAGAATAAGACCGTCTCGTTTCGGTTGCGCCATAGGTTGCGCCCTCGGCGGCCGAAAGTAAAACCGTCTCCTATCGGTGGTGCCATAGGTTGCGACCTCGGCGGCCGAGAATAAAACCGACTCCTATCGGTTGCGCCATAAATTGCGCCCGCGGCGGCCCAGAACAAAACCGTCGCGTAACGGGTGCAACCAGACTGTTCAGATCAGCTCAGTTCAGCTCAGCTCAGTCCAGCTCAGATCAGTTCATCTCGCGAGAAACAGACTCGGGCTACGAGCCATCGAACCGAGGAGCAAACAATCAAAATCCTCGGGCCTCGATCCTCGAGGCCCTCGAAGGCGCCGCGCCGTCGCCGTCGCCGCGGCCGGCGCCGGCCGCGCCGCGCGAGGCACGGGAGGGCTTCCGAGCCAACCAAAGCGGGCGGACCTCAAGGGGGCGGGTCGGCGGGGGCGTCCTAGAGGTGGGCGTCCCAAAGGGGGGGTGCAAATCGTGGCCTGAGGCACGTGCGCGGCACAAGAGGGGCCAGGAGACGCACTGGAAGGAGAAGCGGGGGCCATGAGATGTGGGGGATATCATGGCCCCCGCCATGATATCCCCCCCCCCGCTTATTATCAACCCCCCTCTTGGCCGCCCCCGAAGTGCACGGTTACCCCCGGGGCCGTAGGCGACCCGAGAAGGAGGAGGAGGAGGTGGAGGAGGGAAAAGGGGAGGAGGAGATGGATCAGCGCGTGGTGGGAGACAGGGAGCGTGCACCAAGAAAGAGCCGCCTCCTGTGAAGGGGTGGGGACTCCAGGCAGCACACGAGGGCCATCGACCTTTCGGCTTGGGCGAAAGTGGCCCACGCGCCTTCAAAGCAAGCAGTGAGTGGAATCCGACTGGCTATACTTGCAACTGGAGTGAATTTATGCCGCGCAGAAAGTGTTGCATACACTGACGCAGGGAAGCACCTCACCCCCTGTGAGGCTCTCGACCTGCCTGGTCAAACTCTTCACAAACATTGAGTTGAAGCAACGCAAGGAGACCGGGGATGACTAATCCCGCGGACATCTCCGCTCCAACAAGTCAATTCATCATTCTGCGAAGCCTTTGCCCCGCCCCAGTCGTTCCGCGAGGTCTCTGCCCCGCCCCGGACCACATACCAGAGACACTGCAACACTTGGCATCATGCACAACTGATTCTGCTGGCCAGCCACATCGAAGGCAGGCAGAAAAGGCCAACAAATTGATGGAACGCGATGGACTTCAGCGCTGCGGTGGGCGTCGGCCTTGTCGAACTTGACATCGCAGCCCTTCCACCAGACCATGTTGTCAGACTTCTTTAGCAAGTCAGCGCAGTCCTTCTCCACAGCCTTGCCGTTCTCGACGACGCACTCCTTCCACCAGTCCACGTTGTCAGACTTCTTAGCAAGTAGTCGCCCATCCAGCCGGAGACTGGCATAGCAGGCGTGGCCTTCTCGTCGAAGTCCTTGCCCCGCCCGTCCTTGACCCGCGTGAGATTCATTTCGTTCGCAATTTCGGCACAGCGGAACTGTATCTGTGGGTGACGCAGTCCTTGCCGCACGTGACATCGCAGCCCTTCCACCAGCCCACGTTGTCAGACTTCTTCTGCAGGTTGACGTCCTTGTTGATGTTGCGATGGCCTGGGGCATCGAAGACGACCTTGTAATGCATCTGCTCGGTGTAGAAGTCTTGAGTGGTGTAGGCGCTGGTCACTCCGCACTCGTGCTCCTCCTTCTGACTGTCCGTGTAGAACGCGAAGGCGATGGAGCCTGGTACCAGGCGTGCGACCTCGGCGGGCATGGCAGACTGGAGGGGAACGATCCGAAAAAACTCTGGGGGCGGATCGAACGCGAAAAGTTCGAGCCCCAAGCTCCTGGACCTGACCAGAAGTGAAATGCTGCGGTGTCCTCGGCCCCCAGAGGCCGAGGACTTGAGCCAGGGGGGAAGGAGGAGATGGAGGGGGAGACCCGGTCCCATCTGGCAGGTCATCCGAGGCGCCCGCACCGCCAGAGCCCTATCGCCGCGCCAGAGTCCACGCCCTGGCATCCCTTCGGCAGATAACGCGGAAACGGCCTGCAGCAGGCCGCAAGGCTCGCGAAGTGCTTTGGGGCCCCTCGGACCTGAGCTTATTAAACGCGTTTAGAAGAACATCGTGTGCTATGGCAATGGAGGCGGCTTCTTCGCACGAGAGAGGCAAAGGGAAAAGAAGGAGCCCAGCGAACACCTCCGCCCCCCACCAGGGTGGGAGCCTAGGCAGATTAGCACGCATCACTCCAAGAAGAGCTGGGCAGACAAGATAGTGCACGATCTGGTCGCCAGCAACACATTGGCATCCGAACCTGCATCCCAGGGTGGCCTGGCGGTATGTCCGTGAGGTATTCCCAGCATTACATATACTGCGCAAAAGACTGAGCTGAACGAAGGGAGCAATATGCTGGCCGACCATTTTTAGCCGAGAGAAACACAGTTGGGCTCCGGGAGCCCCAACTTGGCCAACTTCAGGAAACCTCGAAGCCCAATACTGAAGACGCCTCAGAACAAGCTCAGGAAACGGAACCAGGGGCTGATGTGGGAGAACAAGCTTGGTCATTTTCTTCTGAAACCCATGCTCGAAGACGGCGGGGGCGGACGGGATTCTGGATAACTCGCGATAGTTCTGGGCCATCATTAAAACGAAAGACTTGGTATACACGGGATGAAGATGGGCATCCAGGTGGCATTCGGGGTCATCAAACGCGTCCTCGGTTTTCTCGATGCAGGCGAAAAAGACCGACGAGGCGAGGGTAGCACGATATGCAGCTGCACGAGCTTCGCGCGTGAGAGACCTGGCCCGAGATAGCTTTCCCCCGAGGGACTTCGTTCCCACCAACATGCGATCAGAAAGGGCATGCCGAGGAGCACATGTTAAAGACTGCAGACCGAGATGCACTTGCCAACAGCAGTCGGCCGTGGGCGGAAAGAACTGGGCGATGTACATGAGCACGGTGACCGCTATCTGGTTGTACGCCACGAGAGACATCGACAGGCCTAACTTCAAAGACTTAATGAAGCGTCAGCGGTCGCGGAACTTGACCAGCGGGGCGGCCCAAGATTCCTCTTGGGCCCTGATCCCACACATCACTTCAAGATACTTGCAACACTTGGACATCCCGAACCTCCGAACCCTGATCCCCTGCTGTTGGAACGTTCTCTCCTCCTCCTCCGTGTTGAAGTCGCTGTAAAATAATATCACCGTCTTTTTGAGGTTCGGGATGAGCTCAGCGGCAGGCCCTGCAAGCATCATAACTTTCATGAAAATACGCACGGCCGTGTAGCTGTCAAAGGCGGCGGATGCAACATCGTCGGCGAAGGCGCCGTGCAAGTGGGCAGGACACGGCAGCCGAAGACAAAGCAAGCGTAAAATCGGATCGAACCCCAGGGCGAACACGCTTCCCGAGAGTGGGCATCCTTGTTAAATCCCGCGGAGGATCCGAAAAGAGCAGTGAGACACCCCGCCCAAGAGAATGGTGGCTGTAACCTTGGCATAGAGCGTCTTTATCGCATTCAGCACAAACCCGGGGAAATTCATTTTCTCGAATACGAAAAGATCCCATCATGGCATAAACTGGGGAAGGCTGCCTTAATGTCCAGCAGGATAGCGCCTGCAGTCCGTCGCCGCAAAAGGCCTGCTCCTACGACCATGTGCGTCTCAAACTCAATCGAGTTGTCAAGCATGTTACGGTGTTTGACGAAGCCCCTGTGGATCCCAATAGCGGTGTCCACGCAAAACCTCCTTCAGGCGGCAGTTGATCGCGACAGCGACAATTTTGTTGATCGAGCTGGAGAGGGAGATGGGGCGGGTCATTTCAGGGGTCCTCCAGAGCTCGAACCCATCGCGGTCCAGGGAGCCTTTGGGAAGGAAGACCGAGTTGCTGAGGTTGAAGTCGTCCGAAACCTGGCCGAAATCCATGATGTGCTGGCACGTGGCGAAGGCGGCCCACCAAACGAATAAATTCCCTTTGGGCCAGGCAGAGTAACATAGCCCGTCAGGGCCAGGGGCGGAATCGTGAAGCCGATCTAAAACTCCATAACATTGCTCTGCAGAAAGCCTCCAAATCTGGGCCTCCCTAACTTCTTGAATATGTTCCTCTAGCTGCGCTCGCGGCAATTTGAGATGAAACAGAGGCGTGAACTTGGCTCCAGTGAGCGGCGAGAGCATGAGCCCCAGCCTCAGCAGTCGGGAAAGCGTTCCCGTCGGCATCCGTGATGCCCGTGAGGAAGATTCTCCGGTTTTCGGAGACCAGGCCGATACCAATCTCTGAAGACGTGCAGCTCGGTGCTCATAAAACTGGGGGGATTCCGCGGTATGTCCGATGATTTCCTCATATTCT